ACTGTGCTTAGCTTCTTAAGTTAGATACTGTTCTCAATTTGACCTAAAGTGATAAAAAAGTATTTTATATTTTCTTCCTTCCCTTTACCAATTCTCATTTTGACAGTTAACAGTAGTACACCATTATATAAAACAGATACATTAGACCAGCAGTCCTACCTATTAACTTCAGTGGAATTTCCTGGGTTATATAGACTACTGCACATTATAGACTACACAGTTTCAGTGTGGCTGCATGTTCTATAGCAGAGAATATCTGTGCAGAATAGATACATTACTTATATAAATATAGCTTTGATAAATGCTGGGGCAGAACTGACAATACTGTAGGCCTATGTACCATCCTAGGCAGCGGCCACAGCTGAACAGCTACTCCATGCCCTTCATTATTTCAGATGGGGGCTGTACCCATACCTACTAGTATTGCTCAGTACAAAAGTACTACAAATATTATGCCTGCTAACTGAATGTTAGGAGACCTGGTGTGCATATATAATGAATTTTAAAAAACTATATCCCCTAATCCTGAGATCATTTAAACACCCTTAGAATTAAAAAATAATAAAAATAAAAATGCTTGTTCAAATGTTGGGGATATTGGTGGTTCAGATGGCAGGGAGAGGAAAACTAAAGAAGGAATATAAAGAACTCTTATTTCCCCTCAATTTTTCTATGCATCTGCCATTGACTTTGACAGATATTCCCAAGCCAATCCACCGTAACACAGGGAAAGGATTTCTGTTTTTACTTTGTCCTGTTCATCACCTTTCACACACTTGGTTATTTTTTTAAAGCACACTTAAAAACTAGAAATGAAAGATGAGACACACATTTCTTTTGGTGCTAAAGAAATTCACAGTAATAATAGCTTTAAAAACAAAATACCACACACACACATCCCCAACCAAATGAAATATGTTCATTTCAAATACACTGGGATCCAGAAGCCCTTACGAACCTGCTTCTTGATAAAACCATTTAAGCGCCTGCTCTGTGTTTAACTTGGAGCCCATGAGTCAGCTAGAACAGGGCAGTTGCTAATGTTTATGGATTTGCCGATGAGTGACCAAGCAGTGAAAACATCCATAATTACCCAATCATAAATTATTGCTTTTTTGTCATGTATCCAATTATTGCAGTAGTTGTTAGATGTAGTTTACACACACACAGAAAAACTCTAACAAAAACAGTCCTCTCTGAATGAGAACATGGTATTATACTTTCCCCTTCTTCTCCTACTCTATAAAGAGTTTAAGAAATACAAATCTGCCTTACACTATATAAAAAAAAATCCCAACAACAACAACCACCTTGCTCACCAGTACCCAACAACCTACAATAAAAGGCTATAGACAATACCTTTGTAGCATCTCTTGTACATGACACGCAAACTACCTTTCCCCTGCTCCACATTTGGCTGAGGACAGTTAAATCCTTTCACATCCATGCTGCCTGAGTCATTGAGTGGCCTTTTTCTTTAAAATTCAAAAATAGGGTGAAAAAATCATATCTTTAGCATTGCTGTAACAGCCTGTAAGCTGCTGAAGGCTCATCGACCCTTTCAAGTTGTCTGTGTGGCTTAATAAGGCTACACGGGATTGACATTATCCTGAAGCTCACGGCCTTCACCTTGTATAAGCAGCACTGGCTTCTCCATCAAAGATGAACTGGAAATAGCCACATGCTTACACTTGCTTGGGGAACCTCAGTGTGTCATCATGTCTTTCTCACCCCTGCTTTCTCTGTCCTTCTGGCCTTTTGGGCTAGTAAGGCTTACAGAGTCCCTTTGCGGTACAGGTGGGGTAACAGCATTGCCCGTGCACCTGTGACCTGGATCAAGGGGTTTGTACTTTCTGCCAGCTGTACTTCCTACTGTTTGGCCATTGACACTAATTTGAAAGAAGAGCTGTTAAAACAGAAGTGATGGTTTTAGAAAGCTTTTGAAAAGTACAAGGAAATGTTTGCATCTTTTTTTTTTTTCCTGTTAATAAATACAACATACACTTATCATCTGACAAGCAACAGTAAGACATTCACAATGAGGCCTTAACAATTGCATTTAGACTCTGAATATCTTCTTTTCTTTACATCTTAACTTCTGCTGTGCTTAGCACTTTCCACCCAAGAAACATCCCATCGGAGGACAGTTTTATCCTTTCATCTTAGTACTCGTGGGCTTCAGGGGACAAATTAAAATAACAGCCACAAGACAGAGAGACAGCAGACTTTCCGGCAATGTGGGAGCATGCATGTGCATGGATGTGAGGAAGGGCTAGGAGCACATGCCTGCTTCAGCAGTGAGAGAGGATCCTGCAGTCTCCTGTCAGAGTACCGCTGATATAACTAACAAACAGGAATGGCTGCTTTGGGGTCAAACCAAGAGTAAACAGCAGGTACAATTCCACTATATGCTAGGCTGTAAATCACTTTTTTGTTCTTTGTCTTTCTTCACACCACCCTCCAAAAAAAAATGATGACCACTTTCTTACAACTCTGTTTCAAATACATACATGCCTCCATATATATATATTTATATACGTGTATATATCCACACACATATGTGTGCGTATGTGTGGACACGCATATAGGCAAATGCACACAGATGCACACAGACACACACTCTCTATCTGATATATGAGTTACCAAAAAAAAGAAAACAGTTTGTCCTCTATTAATTATGCATACAATTAATGCAAAAGCTGAAATTCCACCTCCCCCTTTGGTTGACTTTTGAGAAAGGAGTAAGAATTTTTAATAAAGATCAAAATTTATTTCTATGTCAGTCATGAGGTGGTCTGTCAGCTGTCACCTAGGCCACTTTCCCAACCATTTGCCTTGCTGCAACTTTCTATATCCAAATATTGGTGCTGGCCTTAGTAAACTTCAATGGCTGACTATCAAAGCTCTCCAACAGGTTTTCTACAGGTTCCTCCATCTAATTGCCAGAAACCAGTCCTGTGCCTTTGATCATCAAAAAGAGGAGTAAGAAAAGATTATTGACTGCTCTTATCTTTTCTAAAAATGGGAAATTGAAATCCATAACTATCCCTGTTTCTCTCTCACTTGCTCTGTACAGGTGTTGTTCTGTCTGTCATTACATATGAAACGATCTGTGCTGGGAGAGAATGTGGGTGTATTAAGATCTCATCCTTTATTTATGTACAGTTGGCAAGATGATATTTTTAGGTGTGACAGTTAAACTGGACAGAGACACACACAAACTTTAGCTATGTAGGAGTGTTGTATTTGATGTATTAGTATGTTTTATCCAGTGAATGCTCACTTCCAAAGGAAGTGGCACTGTACAAGTATAAGATATAATGTTCTATGCCCCTACATTAAACACCAGTCTTCTAAGAACAAAATATATAATAAATTCACGTGTACTTGATGAAATTGAACATAAATTTCAAAAATTCGCCTGGACTCAGAACCAGCCTTTTTCAATCTGGTTATAGTATGAATGCAGTTCATAAATGAAAAAGGAGCACTGACTTCAATGTAAAGGCTTAACATGACCCAACACAGAAACTGGATGTAGATTATAATATTCAGTTACTAGCTGAAGCAGCATAGCTTGGAAGAACTGGCCAGAATCATCTGTTTTGGGGACTGTGAAATGGGTTAAACACGGACTAAATAATAATGAAAAACTGCTTAAATTGTTTTGTTACTTTGTAGGAGAGTGAAATATTTTAAACAGTCCAATTTTACAGATACTGTATTAACAATTCATGTCATTGTCTGTCAATAGCTATTCTACAAAATGTAACAACAAAGTAGTCACAGTCCAAGAATTCACTCCTGAATAAAGCCTATTAGGTGTTAGTATGATTATATCTGTACTGCAGCCAGTGGACAAACATTAAAGCTGAGATAGTTTAGTTTAAATGTTGGATTATACAGTGGAATCATTGTTTTCACAATAAATTCATCTGCTTTCTATTTGTTTGATTCACTGATATTTCTCTAATGATAAAAGTACCACAGTATGTTTTATTGTGGAGTTTACAACTCTGCAAAATTACAAAGCCTAAATTTAACTTGCACAATGAAAAACTGCCTTTCCTGGTCACTGGGTCCTATGTTTCTGTTTCAATCATTAGCACAGCCTTTTGTTCCCTCCTCCCCCCCCCCCGAATTGTGTCAGATGTTGCTAATTTCAGATAGAGAGTTACTAAATCAGTTAGAACATCAAATGCTTGGGTGGATAAATACTGCAGCACTGAAATTAAACATCATATTTTTGTCTGATGGCTATAAAGCTTGTTGGCAACTTTGTGAAACTGCTGACACAAAAGGCACCCATCAAAGGCCTTTTGTAAATTATCATAAATACATTCATTACTTTTTATTTTGATTTGGTTATTACTGTACTTTTATGTGTTGTGCTCCAGCAAAGTGAAAACACATTAAAGAAAAAGAAACAAACAAACAAACTGCTTGGTGCAGGAATTAACTGAGAAAAGCATGTTGTGAGATTACAGAGCTGAGGCTAAACCAGTTTTTATTCTGATCTGAACTCACCAAAAGGTGAGTCAGTGTGCCTTTTACTAAGGTATGAGCTATCGCCAAAGTGCAAAGACCTGGAGCTAAACCTCTATACGTATCAGGAAGAATTTGAACCAAATAAGCAAGACTGATGCAAGGCCATCAGTGCTTTTGAAGTAAGGAACCAAAAATACACGGTAGATGAGATGGTTTACAAATTATTATTTCATGCGCTATTTATGCACTCTGGATTAAAGCACTGTAATATATAGCAAAAGAAGAACTGCCAAGCTTGCCTTCCTGGAATAAGCAACTGCTGATGGCTGCTGGGAAGCAGAGTGGAATGGCCAGATTTGCCATTTATAGCAAGTGCTGCCTACAAGCACCTTTTCTACACAGCCCTCGGTTTAGCGTAGTGGTGTTCACTGTGCTAGTGTTGCAGAAAGTTATCAAGGATGCTGGGCTTCTGTGTGTGTGTAGTGGTGTAAGAGAGGGTGCGGTGTGTGTGTGGGTGGTTGGACCTTAACATAACTGGCAATTAAGATGATCTGTATATGGTAATAAACCAAAGAACATTTCAGAAGAATGCTGCATGTACAAAAATATGACTTTCAACTTTGAAAATAAATAAGTTCAGTTTATTAAGAGCTGGTGTCAATGCTGAACAAAATACACATCCTTCAGTAAAGAAACATTTTGGTGAACTGTTTTTTTCTTCTTCTTTTTTTGATTTACTAAAATACAAGTTGGACCTTTTTTTTTCTTTTGTAAATATATAATTTGTCTCCCTTAATTACATGTCCTTATAACTGTGACCATCATTCTCCTTTAAGCCAAAGACTGAGGTTTGGGGGGGTTTTTTAATTCTTAGGAGTCTGGCCACATATGCAGATTTTTAAGGGAAAATACTTGACAATGAAAAAAAAAAGAAAAATATATTTTTTTCTAATAAATAAAAATAATTTAGAATGCTAGAGGCTATACATGACTAGTTTTGATTATGTTCATTTATAAATGAAATAGTTTCCAAAATACGTGGAAGCAATATTAAAGGCAGACAAACAAACATCTGTCTACTTTATTTTCCCATTAAGCTTGCCCTTCTTAACTTCTCCATCAGTGGTTCAGCATGTAAGAGGAATAAATGTCACATCACCATTCATGAAGTTTGCCAGGCTTTAAAAAAATAGTTCTGGCCTCGAAGGAGTCAACATTCATCTTCAACTTCTCTGATTGGTGGTATCAAGCTGCTTGTCGATTTGTATTGATTGATCTGATTGGCCATGTGAGTGCTCATGGGCTTGATTTGAATGTTTCTGGGATAGGCATTATCCGGCTCATCTGTAAACCATTTCTTTTCTGCTAAGGAGCAAAATGGATAGAGACAGAATAAGGAAGGAAAATGAGAGTTTTAATTAGTGAAGCACATATACACATAAACACATTAAATAAAAAAAAAATAAGGAGCGGGGAGCAGTCAGTAAAGTTTATAGAGAAAAGGTGATCAATAGAAGGTGACTTTGACCAGTTACCAGCAGTACAGTGCATTAGATTAATACTTCTGAGAATACTTTTTGTGAAAGGAGGACAATATGTTTCCAAATTTGATAGTAGAAGCTACAGAAAACTGTCAATATGCTAGTTTGCTTGTTGAAGCTAAGAGGGCTCTTTTTTTTTTTTTTTTTTTTTCTTTTTTTTTTTTCCATGCTCAGGGGAACACACTCTGATTCATTTATTCACAAAATGATACAAATAAAAGGCTAAACTGAGAAGGCAGGGAGAGCATATGGGATAAAGGTAATGCAGAAAGGAGCATGTGAGTCCATGTACAGAGCAGCACCATAAAGAGTTAGAGGCTTCTCTGAACCATTTCAGCCTCAGGGTGGTCACTACTGCTGGCTCAGAGATTATGCAGGGGAATGCAAAGAACAACTTTCTGCAGTTTGTGCTAGAATAAATAGGGCTTGCATTCATGCTGCCAGATGGCTGTGTTCCTGCACAGGATGGCCATTATATTGCTACTTAGCAACTTGTCTGCTTGGTTGCTGCTCAACTCTCCAGTTGGTGAAGGGACATGGAACATACCTGGTGCTGCAGATGCTGTAGTAGGGGCTCAAGCTAATCCTGAATGGATTGGTAGTGGTTTATGACAACAAGGCAAAAGAAGCAAGGACTTAAAGATTAGAGGGGAAGCTGTTCTTTTTATATATTTGGGCAGTGTCTGTTCCATGATCACAGGAAGAATTTTATGGTACTGATTTAGGGTTTGGGAGCAATGTGGGAGAGAGTGAGGATGCTGAGAGGCTGCACCATTGCAGCCATTCTGTAGCTGCTTATGACTGTAACCACTGTATCGCTTTGTTTGTACACAGGTGTACAAACCTCTTAAAATTCACAAAAGAAAAAAAGAAAAGGAATTTTCTTAAGCCCTTTAGAGGGCAATTACTGTTGTAATTTCTTTGCAATTTTACAAGATAGCTCTATTCAAAGACTTAGAAACTCCTGATCTTAGAGTGGCTTATGGCCATTAGGTGCTTGTGCTTTGACAAGCATTTGTGAACAGAGGACTCCTTCTTGCCCTCCTTTTCCAAACTCCAGAAGTGAGCGTGCAGAGCAGTGGACACAAATGGTCCTGGGGATGAAATTCTGCAACTGGGGCAGATCAGAGCTGCTCTCTCACATGTATGAACTACCTCTCATTCCAATGGGGAACCCAAAATGCTTCACAAGCTTTAGTGTCTCACTTGAGCAATACAAACTGCCACTTTTGCTTACCACTAAAATGTTGCTGTATCTGGGCTGGAATCAGGGCAGGAGTGGAAGGAACGCTCATTTTATGTAAGGGAACAATTAAATAAAAATAAGCAAAGCACAATCTACCTCGAAAACCCAAGGATCGAGCAGAAAAGCTCAAGAGGTGAAGCACAGAACAGAAAATAGACAACCAGGAAGAAAAAAGGACAAATATCTGGGCATAAATGCACAAAAATAAGCAACTAGCTTCCAAGTTAGGGCCTCTGAAGAAATGGATTAACTTTTGTGAATACGAAATTTAAATACTTATACATGATATGGGTTTTAAGCATCTACATGCAACACCACCACCCCTCAACGACTCATGAGGGTTTAATCCATCTTTTTTTTTTTTTTTTTTTTTCCTGGATGTATTTGTTACCTATGTTTATGCTTTTTAAAAAACTTTAAATTGAAAAAAGGAATCATAGTAATCACTAGTGGCTTATTACTGAAGGTAAACAGAACTACTCTGTTGTTTTTATTATCATTTTTGAAAATGTCTTTTACTTTTTAAAATATCCTACTCATTTGCCATCACGGTAAATTGTTCCCTGCCCCTTTATAGTTGCCTGAGTCTGAACAATGTTCAGTCTCCCATCTCTCTCTCTCTTACCTATTATAATTAAGTTCCCTTTGATTTTAACAGATTGGACGATAGGAATTCATAATGTTACATCCTGCACACTGAAGCTAACTGATTAAGTGCTTTAAATTATTCTTCCTGACAGAATGATAAAGTTACAATCTGTTCAGAGATGATCTACAGCTTGCCAGACTCCTACCGCTTCTTTCTACATTCATCTATCTTTTTGTCAAGCAGTTAAAAAAAAAAGCCTCAATTCCATAGATCTTTTAAAGTCATCAGGCCATCTGAATTATTAATGAGACTTTAAGGGAATGGTTCCTGATGGGGGCTGGTTTAAGAAAGGTTGTAGGAAAAAAAATCTGGGAACGTATACACATCAAAATAATTTCAGCTCCATTTAAAAACCCATTTAGTTCAAGTGTGACACATGAACCATTATGCATTTGTGGAAACCAATTTTATGTGATCTACGATTAAACTAACCTTTCAGAGAGGTGTAAAGTGTGATGGTTATCATGTTTTAAAAGCCTTGCAAGATCACATAAACAATTTCAAACTAACAGTTTTCTAATGGTTTGTGTTTAAAATGGTTTCGGGGTAAGTTAAGCACTGTGAACTTTTATCTCTACCTTCTTTTTTAACATATGGTGCACAAACTTTCCTTACAAACAAAACGATGCAAGTTAATTCAATCTCATAGCAAGAAAGGGGAGAACTGCATGAGTGCTAAGGATCAGGGATGAACTACACTGTGTTTCTCAGCAGCCAGCATAAAGCATTTCCATCTCCCCTGCTTTCCCTGGAATTTTCAAAACAAGGCAATTATTTAGGTGTTAATCTTTACAATAAAACTCATATCCAGGGAGCTGATCTTTAAAAAGACACCATCAAGTCTCTTTTTGCCTTTACCTGGCAAGTAATAAATAGAGAAATTTAATAAATAAGTGCAGAAACTGGTAGATTCTAATTTCTTTGCTGTTTAAAGTTCTTTTTGACAGTGCTGAAACCTTGATCCAGGCATTATCATCTCCACCACCAAATGCTTGGACACAGCTTTATAACTTTCCTATTCCTTCTCTGCTGTTAAAATTGTCTTTGACCACATAATGATGAATCTCCTGTGAAAGTCCACTGACCTCTACACTTACCTTTGAAATGTGAGCTTGACACTTCTCATCTTTACTCTTGGCCACTAAGATATTCTGCTCCCAGTTACTAAATGTCCTTCTTTAATCCCTTACTCACTTTTCAAACTTTTTTGTTATGCTCAGTCTGACTTTGATATGTCTTCCAAAGTCTTGGCACAGATTTTTACCTATCTTAAACAAACTACTTACTCTTTCCTTTAAATCAGTCCAGAAACCCCTTATAAAGTCTTTATAACAACTAACAACTAACAACTTTTCTTTAGGCCTCTGTCATGTTCAGTCTGTTTCCCTCCCTTTTGGCATATGCATATTTATCCTCACCATATATGTTTCTACATTATAGTGAGAACAGGAATATTTTTCTATTTTTTTAAGAGCTGTTCAAGAGAGTCCCAGATCTTCCTATGCTATTTGACAGGTTCACTTTTGACAGCATCACTTGAGAGATGTTAGAAGAGCTAAGTAACTTCACGTATCAGAAAGTAGAAAACATTTCCTCGCCTCCAAACACCTGTGTTTGCAATGAGCTATCAGCATCCCAGTGCATCCATGAAGGTTCTAAAGTTTTCATGCTCTTATTACAAATAAATAAAAATTAACATCTTGTGTAAGACTGTTCCCTGAAGCATAAAAAGAAACAAATAATTAAAATGATCAAAATACAGATTTCTTCAAATTGTGTAAGACTTTAGCAATTCTTTCCAACACATTTATTGTTCTGGTGCTTTAAAATTTCTGTCACTAATTCTGGACTGAATAATCATGTTTGAATAAATGTCACTGTGAAGCACCCTCTATTCTGAGCAGAGGCAAAGAAAGTACTAGATAAACATGACACAAAGATTTACTAAATCGGTAGTCTCATCGTTATCCCAGGTTACCTTACAACTGATTTAAACATGCTTTTTTGTTTTTCTTTTGTGACACTTGCAGTTTCACATGAGTCTGTATGCACGTGTTTGTGGGCCTCCCCCCTCACATAGGCAGCTTCTTTATAGCTAAGCCGAAAATTCTCCCATGCAATTTCTTCCTGCATGAGAAAAAAGCAATGAAAGTTTCTCCCCCCACTTGCCCATCAATTCTTTGTTTGTCAGACAAATATTTTACATGTAGCAGGCAGTAAACAATTTGCAGGGAGAGAGAGAAGAAACTGTTATCACTTTCTGTGAAGGTCTTTATTTTGCTCCAAGGTAACTAAAGTTTTGGGACAAAAATGATATTCTGGACTTCCTCTTGTTGATTTTTTATTTTTTAAACTAGCAAAACTCTTACTTTTGACAATGGGAATTTCACTGGAAAATGCCTGACTCTGCCAGTTTAGGCCAGTGGGAACGCATGCCAAGAACCTGCAGGTTTGCTAGATGTGATTTTGTGTCAACACTCAGATCAACAAAGTTACTAAGAACCTAGTTTCCATTGTTGAAACCATGCTGGGACTAAGTGGCAGGACCTCAATTTAAAGCTCTAAATTCTCATATCTTGATATTGGTGCTGCTTTCCCACTTTCAAAAACTAACCAGGGTAGCTACTAAGAATGTTTGACTTGGGATAGGCTTCTGAACAAATGGAAGATTTTCTGTTAATTTCCAATATAATAAATTTCGATAACATAACTTAGTTGATTTAAACATTCCTCTACTTGTAATTACCAGCCTCCCAATTTCATTAGTATATCCATATCAGAAAATCTTTATCACTTTAATAAACTATTTGATCACTTTGACTATATTTAGCCATGAAAATTGTACATGGTACAACTAAAAGCCAAAACTTTAAGGTGTCCAACTTTAGGACAGAAGACAGAGGAGAATTAGGCTTCAATATTATTTGAAGAATTCATATTTGCATCCATACTAGATATTGCTCTTCTGTTGCTTAGAAAGTAGACAAGTTGCTTCTCTAACGTACATTGTTTATATTTTTTCTCTTTGAGCTGCACTTTAATACAAATACTACATATTTGGATAAACTAATTATGTAGTATGTGACACATGGCTTCATATTAACACCCTTCCTTCCTCTGCTAAATGGAAAACAGATAAAACATTAATGGGAAAGCATTTTGGTGTCAAAGCCATTAACGTTCTTCCAAAATGCATAACTGCTCTTGACTATCTTCAGTCAATATTGCCAACATAAAAAGATGCTCATGAACATACATGGGGGACGAGGGAGTAGGGAGGGCAAGGGAGGAAAGGAATTGTAATGAGGACTGTGAAATTGAAGTAATGCCTGCACCAGAGTAGGAATCTTCTTTGAGCAGGAACCTGGGTGTTTACACAAGGACACATGCAATTAGAAAGGCAAGCAGATGAGAGGATAAAAAATAAAACAGGGTTGAGCAACAGCAGCAGCAGCAGCCAGTTTTACTTCTGGTTTGGAGGGGAAAAAAAAGCAAAAGAAAATCAACAAAACAACCAACCAAACAAACAAACCAATAACTGAATAAGTTTGTATATTTTTTTTTTAATTTCACGAGTTTTCACAAGGACAAAGTTATAGAAGGAAACCCACAGCAGTTGCTAGGTCATGCAGAACCATTAATTGTCATACCTTGGCCCATTCTATTCATCCTTGTTGCACTTTAGAAAAAGAAGTAAGCTATGTAAGTTTTACAATGCTTTTAAACTGTCATATTTCCTGTTGAGCACTTTAACTGGCACATCCTTGTAGTAATAAATAGTCTTAGGGTAAAACATGAAAACCTTCTTTGCAAAAAGAAATATATGAATTTGTCTTGATGATGAAGAGCGCCTGTAATAGACTCATTTGTAGGGGAGCATCCATAATTTGCAATGTGTTTCACTGATAGGACTTACAGGTGCATTAGAATGCACACATACACATATATATATTGCGTTTCCAATCATTATGCGTAAGACTGCACAGTGGTACTCTCTGTAGCCCACTTATATGGTTCCAGGTTTTGTCAGTAAAAGTGCTTGGCTTCATTGTCAATTCACACAGCAAGCAAATCTTCAAAATTATCATGCTTGGGGAAGGGGAAGGTAGAAAACAACACTAACCATAAAAGCACCTTGTCTGGGTTGGCAGTTACAACGCTAATCACTCCCACGTCCAAATATTTATTTTCTGTCTGCATGCTTTCTTTCTGGGTAGCCAAGGAAGGTGGTATGTGTTTCTGGTCTCCCTGCCCCGGGAAACTCTTCATATCACTTAGAACTAGTTCTATATTTCTAAAGGTTGGCATTTGAAATTAAAAAAAAAAAAAAAAACAAGCTTGAAGTATCATTTCTATGGCTGTTTAGGATAGGTTCCTTTCCACTACTTTATTTAATTCCCTGACACAGTTTTTGTTTGACTACACGTGTCACTGGTAAGAATCTGCAAGAACCAAACTCTGGCAAGTGCCTAGAACATGGTGCCTCAGCACAGTGAATATTTCCACTCCAGCCTTCTTGTTCAGCTCACTAGTTGTCTAGGGCACAGCACCTTTTCTTCTCAAATGGGACAGACCTTAAAGGCACTCAGTTGTCTTCCCCTGTATACTGTGTGCTACTTACTGGCTTGAACCTGTTGAAAAGAATGAGCTAGAACATGGAACAGGATTTCTGGAGGATCTTCACATACCAGGACTCTTGTTGGAAGATTTATACCACCACTGTAATTTGGAAAAGTTAAACTACCATCTGGGGAAAGGAACAAAGTCCCTTGAGATCTGATACTTAAGCAAAGAAAAAATGCTTGCTCTTTTCTGAACATTATTTATTCTGTACATAAGGTGACTAATTCACCTTTTAAAGACGTAAAAGTCCCAGGAAGGCAGTTTTTAATGACTTACATCCAATATTTATGATACATATGGCTTTTTATCCCAAATGTCAAAAGTGAAAGAAAATATGGCTATTCATGTGGCAGTATAAGTAGACAGAATAATAATTTAATATGCAATTAGACTCTTTCTAAACTTAAATTAAACCATTGGAGTTTTACAACTCCATGCCTAGACAATTTCAGTGTTAAAAGGAAAAATACACTACTTCCCAAAGGCTAGTATTTTAGAGAAAGCCCTTAAAAAAGCAGAAAAGTCCCTGATGTTGCTTTGGTATAAAGCAGGTGCGTAGCAATAATCCATACAAAGAGTGTAAGCCCTATATAATATAAGCTTTGAGAGTGAAAAATTGGTAGGGTTTTTTTTTTCAATGAGTTAGTTTTATAAGCTTCAAATAAATGTAGCCTGTAAATATGAATATAAAAAAAACCTACTGCAACATACATCAACACTTCTCCACTAAATGACTTTCTTTGTGTAACTCTGACATCAAGAGCAAACGTTCATGGTAAATATACTCTTTTTTTCCTGATATGTAGAGTAACTGCAGTGAGTTATTTATGTTTTCAGTGTGCCTATGGGTTTAGAATTTTTTTTCTCCCCTAGCATCATAAATAACTTTTGGTCCGTCTGCTTTGTTGCTGTTGTGCTTAAGGGTTTTATGGTGGTGAAATAAAAATGACAATTACATGCACACTGTCATACATATGCAAAATATGCGTACAAAAAGGGAGAACTCCATGGGAAAACAGGGAACATTACTGCTGGAAACATTAACTGGGGAGAATGGGTGGTGAATGCAAGTTTCACACACAGTGGGAGCAGGTACATATATTAAAGTCTATCTTCCTGCACATACTTCTGTTTTTCCCGGGAATCTCTGGTCTTGGTGCGGTTCGGTCGGTTTGCTGTTGATGGGATGGAGTGAACTGATGAGCTCTTCTTGCTGGAAGAATAGGAGGAATGGGAGGAATGAGAAAGACTGGCCCGGGACTGGCCAGCATTGTGGTCAAACTGCATCAAACAGAAGATCAAGTCTGTCGGCACAAGCTCAAATTCATATGGTGGGTTTGTGATAACATAACTGAAAAGAAAGGAAGAAAGAAAGAAAGAAATATAAAGCAGGTTTAGATTGGTACTAAACAAATTCTTCTAGAGTTGTTATCTCATGAACATTTACTCATATTTTTGCATTTCTGTTTCCTTCAGTGTGTACCTAATTTTAGCTCACATAATACCCATTATGATTTAGTACCTTCTTATGTCAGATACCACTTTTTGTATGTTTTCTGTTGCACAGACATACTGTCTGAGGAGGACGTTCAAGTGAATCATGTAATGATTTTTGAAATACACTATACAAATCATCCTCTTTTCTCTAGCTGCACCATAATGCAATGACTCTAGCAAACAGATTTATATATTGACAAAAATGAGTAACATACCCACCAACAAAAGTACTTAAGAGAACGGCCGAAAAGCAGGGAGAGGAGGATTTCAGGTACAGTTACATTTAAATACATGTTTACTATATACTTATTAAATATTTAAATCCTGCAAATGGAGCAAGGAATATAATTATTTGTTTGATTGTGACTATACATAAAAGAAGTTAAGGAAAATATATCAGCAAATGTGCAATAATTTTGTTCATTCATTCCACATGTACGTTCATGGCATCAAAAAGCACTTATAAAGAGAAATCTGCTCATCCGAGAATCCCGCATTGCTAAGTATACCTCCCAGGCCTGAAAAAAAAACTCTGTCAACTTCAAGAATTGCCACCTTCAACTTTCAGGGTAGGAAGGGCTTATAGACTCTGCTGCTAAATTTTTTCATGCACATTAAAAATTTGAGCAAGACAATAGGCATGCTCTGTCCAAGCAAGAAATGAGTAAAAATTGATCACAAAGCTCACAACTTTTTTTTCAAATTAATTCAGTGCTTCTAAGAAATCTGGCTTAGCTGCCTCAGGGACAGAAGTCACTTATCAATCCAACAAATAATCCCAAGTATAGCAAGTACAGTGTAAATCTAAACTGAAAATAATTTTTTCTATCCAGTTTGTCCAAACCCTTACAGAAGAAACAGCTTTGGTGGGCTGCAGCGTTGTTTATTGCCATGCTCACCCAATAATGATTCTTTTTGTAGAGAATGAAACAGGAACAGATGGTAGATTTGTGGCAGTTCTGCTACGGGTCTGTGTGTGTATTTCTGGTAGGCACTTAATTACGACACATTTCAAGTAAGCTGCTAAATGGCCTTCGGTTTGCAAAGATGGCAATGTGACTGCTCTATTTAAAGCACTGAGGTCAGCCTTGGTGCTACTGAAGTAAAAATGCAGCCTACCAAGAGAAGGGTTTCCATTTACTGGAAGAAATGATGATTAGATACAGATAGTACCAATGGGAAGGCCACAGGAGTACTCTTTGAGCATTTGGAAAAAAGAAAATCTAGCTACTATAACCTAAATTATTATCCAGATATAAGCAAATCAAACTCCTTTCCCTGTATGCAAGCAGCAGATGATCATCAATCAAACAAGACAGAGATATATTCTGAAAATTTACTTTAAACATTTTTTTAAAATTAGCTGAAAATTTATGCTATGATATCCAGCCTATGATTTCAACTCGGATAGAGAGTCATCATGAAGTCCTCAAAGAGTTAGCTTTTGTGGCAAATTTATGTAAAAAATGGAGAAAGCTCTTTTTCAGATTTATTACAGGCACTAGAATCTTCCTCACCAGGAAGAATGAAGAATGGTTTAGTAGTTAGGTCGTGTGGGTTGACGGTTGGACTTGATGATCCTTGAAGTCTTTTGCAACCTTAACGATTCTGTGATTCTATGATTCTATGATAAAAGACTGGACTTACCGTTTAGTGCATTGGCTGGGAGTGCTTAGATGTGCATCCCTTAACCGATAAATTCCAAAGCAAAGCATATTGTATGTTTTCAGTGCTTTACAAAATAGATCTCCATAACAACCTCCATCCTAGGAGAAAGAAAGGATAGGGGAAAAAAAGAACAGAGAACAGCATGTTTTTTTCCTATTTTTTCCTCTGTTAACACAATGTCAGGGAACAGGATTTTCAGTATGAGCCTGTACAAAAAGGACAATGTACAGAGTGCTGTTTGTCACAAATGAGAATCTTTTACTCAAGGAAATAAAGAATCTAAATGTTTTATTTTAAATACGTAATTATGTAAAGTCATCATTTTTGAAGAGCCTTGGTCCATAAAATTACAATAAATTGGAAAGAATTATTCGCTTTAAGCTGGAAATACAAATTTTGGTATCAAACAATGCATATTCTACAAATTACAGTAACTGGGGTATTAAAATTGTTAGTATTTTCGACCCTTTTTTGACAGCAGCCACACTGTCATCTACACAAATAAAGTCACTGGGGAGCATAAAAGAAATTGGAATTTGAGGGATTAAAAGTATAATAAAATATCTCCCACTTTAATAATGAAATGTATGTCATTTTTCATAAATAATATAAAATGTTTTGATTAGTGAAAAAAAGTTTAATTTGATAATTTGTATGTCTAAAATATTGTTTCATAAGTAATCATGCATGTTAATGCCTTCTGCCTTCTGCCTTCACTGACGTAGTGCAACTGAGGCTCTGGCAAAATAGCATTTGAAGGATTGGTATTCCTTGTTTTATTTGTGAAAACGTTACGCCGCATGCCCAAGTGTTTTGATGAGCTGTTAGTCTCAGCTATGACTGGACTTCTACATGAACTGAAAAGCTGTTTACTTCTATCTGTACACTCTCATCACCCTCAATCCTTAAACTGGGACTCCCTGTCATTTCTGTGAAGAAGGTCGCTCCATTCTTTTTGAACAGAGCTGGTGAACACAAGGTTAATTTAAGAAATATAAAACCCTACATCATCATCAAAGTGAAGTGGGTGCTTTGGGATTTGTAAAAAGGGTAAGAGCAAACCTGGCCCCTTGTGATATAAACTGTCAAACAATCCAAAAGCTCTATTAAATTAAATAATAGAAATTATACGCTAATTAAGATAGATTTTTAATTCAGTCTGAGAGGAAACAAATAGATTGCAGACCACCCTTGGGCCTACATTTCCCTCATGATCTTACCCCTAGGTCTGCAAATGGCCCATCATACAAAGCCAACTGAGCAACTCGACACCTGTCCCTGTTTGCAAGTGTCTGGGGCGTGCTATAACCTCCTCTCAGTGCATTTTCCTCAGCAATCAGTGCTTCCAGCTCTGGTGTGGCTCCTCCTGTTACCAATGTCCGTATCAGTGTGAGGATATTGTCATTGAAGTATGTCTGCAGAGATAAAAGAAAGCTCTTTAAGCAAACACCATTAAAGCCGCAACTGAAGACATCCAGATTACAACTTTTCTGGGTTTCTGCTGTTTAAAGTTCTTGGCTGTCTCTTCAAATAATTTTATACAGAAAGTGAAAAGACAGCACCCTCCAATTACTCTATTTGCTTCTATCCCATTAGGCTCCTATACTAGATCCTTCCTTTTAAACACCAATTCAGGCTGATTTTTATTAAAGTACAAAAATTTGAATGATTTATGTTTCCTATAATTGGTGTTAGTAGTGATGCAATGACTGCTTTCCTTCTCATTGCCTTCATGTCTAATAATGGGCTCTAGGACATGTAATTGTAAAATTCAGACCACATTTAAAGCTTACGCAGGCTAGATTGCCTTTTTAGTCTTGTCACCAATTCGTTGGGGAGCTGCCTTTGTGCTGCAAATGTCATTACTTATTACTGTGGCTGGACTCTAGCAGTCTAACCGATGTATTGTACTAAACATCTTATTACGAGACTTGACAGTGTTCAGACACAAGCATGTATCAATTAAACATGTTGAGTTCATTCCAGATAAATGTATGATGAGTTTGGGATCCTGGTGGTCCTTTTAAAAAACTCTAGGGTATAGGGTAAGTGTGGTTTATTAGGGAAGATTTACTCTACACTGTCATTTTGCCAGCATCTGTAGCATTGCTGGTCTGTCAGGCAAACAATGGGTATTTTAAATATTAATTTAATGCCAGATGAATGAATTTCAAGTTCACTTAAAAGTATAGCGGTATAGTTCAGAGATACTCAGTTAAATACTGCAATGTAATTTACTGGGCAAAAAACACTTTTGAAATAAAGAAGGAGACACCATCACTTACAGTGTCACTAATGTCTGTGTTTTCAGAAGCTTTGCAAGTGTGGGGGACATACGAGAAGAAAATAAGCTCACTGTAGATTACACGGAATTGGCATTACTAGATTTGAGGATTCCATTACTAGACTTGTGACTTTCGTTGAACTTGGGACTTGGAACAAAAGTCTGTAATCCAACCAAGTAAAACTGAATACTGAATTCTCAAACAGTTCATGTCCAAAGATAATACTGTTTAAATATTACTTTTCAATGAAAATCATTGGTCTATCCATTTAATTTAATTGTATTTAATACATGGATAAACAGAGGTACAGGTTGAAATATTTTGTCCTGAGATCAAAAAGCAGAACTGGCTTCCTATCCATGTTACTTTTATATACTTTCTTTGCATAACGAAGCTTAAGGTCTACTGTCCACTTGAGATGACAGATAAAACAGGAGAAAATGAATACAACAAAGCAAAGTTTTTAATTGTTACATTGAAGTTTCATCACTTCAAGCCTCTCTGCTTATTTATATAGGCATATATGCCATTCACCTGTTGACTAAATTATAATGAGAGGAACATACTGTTATTGTTATACATACCCTAAAGCAAATATTTGCATCTCATCAACTCCAATTACTTTAAATTATCCCCAGTTAGGCACTATATATTTTAAATACAAACTGTACTGTAAAGAGTTGTCTGACATTAGCAGGGGTTCAGGAAGATTCAGTTAGTCTAAAACAAAGGCTAATCTCAGATCAGCTCTTACATAGGTGGATGCACTGTGTAACGACTCAAGTGTAATACTCAAATGTTTCTTAACATATAGAAAAATCAATGTGACCCTTTGCAGGAATGTAAGTATAGAGTGATTACATGACATTTAACAGGAGTTGCCATGGCGCGAGAGAGAAGACATTCAGGCACGATTGTTTATTCTTCAGTTACTTCTTCCTTGATGTCCCTGGAGTGAGAATCAGGGTTGCCCTCTTTGGCAACTCTTCCCACTTTGTTATACTTTTTTGACATGTAAATACTCAGAATAAAAAAATTGGCCTTAAGTTTAATCTCTTTCTTAGCCTTTGTCAGTGTATACTATATACGACTCAGAACTAAAATAAATAGCACTATTCCTTTGCTCCTGCAGTTAGGCAGCAATGTTACAAGACACTAGTTTCTTGGATATAAAGCCAAAATCTGCCAGATCTAGAGGTTGGAGGCACTGCAATTGTAGAAGCTGGAAAGGCCCTTTCAGTAAAAATGTGCTTCAACATAGTTTATGTGGCACTTTAAGCATGCATCTTCACACAAGCACACCATTTTCTGCAACAGCATATTTTCTCATGCCTTCCCCACTCTTTTATTCAGTATTTTTTATTCCTTTTTCTTCTCTAAGTAGTGATATTTCGTATTATTCAAAAATGCTATTCTCAGTTTTACATCTATAAATCAAGACAGAAAAACAAGAAACAAAAGTAAAAGTTATCTTTACTGGCAGATTTTTCAAGTCTGGTTTACAATGAGTCCAACTGTGGTAACAAATGTTCACCTGCTCTAAGCCTGATGGATACTGGTTCATGTCAAATAGCCTGTTTTTATAGACTGCTGACTTGCAGTGATTGGTAAAACATGCAAAAGTCTAAACTTGTACTAATAATTTTATTACTCTTCAGGGGGCATCATTAGGGCAGCCTTCACTGGTTTCCAACTCTTTATCTTTCTTCTGTAACTCAAATTGTAGCAACTATAGCCAGAAGCCAAGATTTAAACACATGTACTCAGCTGCATTCTGTACTGTACATGTGCACAACTACCCCTTATCATAAATTCAGTTGTAGCTCACTAGAGCATGATCTACTAAGAAATTATACTGTGGCCATAACACTTATTTTACTACAGATCTCATACTAAACCAAAATATTAAAGCAGTAGTAAAATAAAGTATCAAGTCAGGCACCTGTCACAAATTAATTAATACAAATAAAATAAAATAAATTAAAATCCCCTCCTCCCCAAGACCCAGTGCAATCAAGACACAATGGGCCCAATTCTGATTTATGTCATGTGCCAACCAGGAATAACTCTGGGAGCCATACACTACTATGGAACTCATGCAAATAAGAATCAGGTCTATTGTTGATGGAACAGAATGCTGGCACCGGAAAAAGGCCTCCCACTGCTATGCAACTGTTAAGGTAAAGCTAAGACACTTATTAGCAAAGGAGGCCACATTTATCTTGGAACAATGGCTTGCTTTGGGTTTCACACCATAACTGATCTGGATGTCACCATTTAATCAGATGGATGAGTGCAGCCAAATGATGTTTTTTGGATTTTTTTGCCATCAATGAGTGAAAAGATTCCAACTTCCAGAATGGACTGCACTGGCACTGCAAGTGATCAGGAAATGCCCAACCATAAGGAAGAAAGAAAGGGCGAATAGGAAGCTGTAACTTGTCACCTTCTCCTAAATAGGGTTGCTTCCTCCTGTACTAATATATTTAACACTCCTGAAGAAAAACTAATTTGTCCAGGCTTTGGATTGCTGCGAAAATCAGACTCCTCTCATTACCTCTTGCCAGTTTGGAACTGGGGGAGACTGAAAAGCTGAACTAGCTGATATCCATTTCCCTTGGAATAAAAATACACTGAAATTAATATAAGACTCATCTTCTACTTGCTCTGTGGGAGGGTATATGGCCTGGATATGCCAGTACTTATAAGAAACCGATCTACAGAATGTCTTTGGAAAGGTGCTGCTGTGCTTAAAGTAACAAGACGCTTTCCAGTGATGGTAGTGAATCCCTTTTGTTGACTGTGAAATTGTAATTGAAGAAATACTTGTTTGCTGCCGCCATTAACTGAAACCTACACTGGACATCAGTATGACGTCACTATAATCAGCATCCAGAATGAGAATATGAAATAGGTTTAGTCCAAATACAGAAAAAAGGAAACGCCTCATAGACACTGAAACTGGGTAAATAGCAAGGAAATTCTGACATACATATCTGAGCTAGCAGTGCCACCTAGCCTAAACTCTGGAATTGTAGTGCAGCTCTTTCAAACATTTTGGGGACGCTTTCCCATTTGTTCAATCATTTTTTAAAAGTATAATTACCAGAGTGCTTATGTTTTGCAGTTAATGCTGTCAAGCTTTTTAAACTAATTGGTCTTTTACAGAAAATTTAACTGAAAATTAGCACATCTTTTAATAACATTGCTTTAACTTTAATATCACTTTACCTTTCATTTATAATTACTCTAAAATTGTCATTTTCCAAGTCATAGCTGCCATTTTTTAATGTTTGCTAGTGGTTTTTTATGGATTTCTTTTAAGAAGACTCCTCCTTCACTGCATGCAGTTTTTAACATTGCTTTCAAACAGATATTTTAACTTGCTTTTCTTTTTTCAGTTGGAGGAATTCTGTTGAATGAATAATATATATCCAAACCTGAGGAACGACTGAGCTAACATCAGCAACTTATAACAATAAAAAAGGGCCTTTAAAACAGAATCAACAGCAGAAAATAAATAACAGTGTTTCACAGTTTGAAAATATATTGCTTCTCAAAATATTGTTCAAACTTTAAAGAAGTTTGGGATACTTAGGCTACAAGATGCTGCTTGCTAATCCCCTGAACAGACTTCCACAAAAAAAAAGTATTGCATTTCAAAATGTCCATATTATAGATTAGAACAGTTTCTTTTCTGTATAAATTAGACTGTGAGGATCCCTGAGGGAGAACTCTTGAGTAAGGGATATACTGAAAAGTTGTTTTTAACTGTTTTAACTATTGTCTTCCATTCTGTGCTTTCATTTATACGAAGAAAAAATAGATTTAGCACTACAGAACAAAAACCAAGACCTACAGTTCTAGCACAAGGTAATAAATTCTAGGATATCGAATGTTAAGCAGCATAATTTGGTTTTGGTGAACCTTGCCTTTAGTGGCACCACTCCGACAGTATATCAAGTCTATTGTCAGCAGTATGCACAGGAGTGATGCCAACCTGCCAGAACTTTTGTGGTTCTCATCGCTTCAGTGCCAAAAGAAATAAGAGAGAAGCTTTGGCTCTCAGGCCAACTGTTCAAACCTTTGAAGGTACTGTGTGTTGATACAACTGGTTTTCTTGCATGCACAGGATCTTCTGGAATAATGATATCAACAAGACACAGAAAAGGAAAAAGTACTTCTCCTCAAAAATTTGCTTCTCTTAAGCTATCCTATGTCATGTAACCTTTTTATAGCTGAAGAATATCTTTTTAGAAAACATCCGTATTATCTAAAAGGTGCTTCATATCCCATGTTTTTTAGTCACACTCATCTTGGTGACGAGAATGTGCTTTGCTTTCCAGGAGCGGCCCCACCTTGAGATTGAGAGACTACATATATTCTTTCCCTGGGTTTGCATATGTGATGACAAAACAAATATTAATATGTATCATTCGAATCTTTGATGGCAGTAGATGTCTCTTCAAGAACATAATAATGATTAGCTGGTGCAATTTAACAATAGCCACTGCCACGCTTACAACATAGCCATGCCTAAAATCTTCACACAAAGTGCAACAATGCACTTTAACCACAGCCTGCAGAGTCCACTGTTACCAACTCATCAAAAAGACAATGCAGTTTTTGAGCTTGTTATTGTCTTCTGAGCAATGATCTTCGAACTACCACACTGTGAATCACGGGCTTGTGGAATATATTGCCTTTGCTGCAGAGAATAAACTGTGTGTACATAGACTGTAGATAGGATTTTGAAAAGTAAACTTCATTAAGCCTTTTATCTTTGAAATAAGAAAATAACAGACAATTTCAAATCTATCATATCTAATACTGTCATCTTATAGGAAATAATACTAAACTAGCAGAACGTATATGAGCTTCAGCATTCAGATTTGAATCAGAAAGTGATAACACATTTTCTAATCTGTGATTTACGAGTAAGATTTAGCCCACCACTTCCGTATTAATAAAATTATACAAAAGAAAATTATTTAAAATATATTTGTACCTCTTTTTCTCTATACATACATCTACGTGTATGTTTCAAGTTACCTGCAGGTCAGAAAGAATACTGTATGTGTGGGTATTATTCCACTTTTTAACATTTCTTACACCTGTTTTACTAAAAAACGCCACTACTGTGAGAATATATTAATTCTTAATGAAGCAGTTCACACATTGCATGTTTGTACTGTAGACAATACAAGGAATTTGCATTCTAGAGATATCACCAGAGATTATAAAACTAAATTTTTCTATAAAAATTAAACAATGAAAAGCCCTGAATCACTAAGTGGATTTAATAATGAATTATATCCATGTCTCAAAGTAAGCTGGCACAGGCCAGCACAGTGTGAATTATTTCCTTCTTACAGAATTCCTGTGCAATTAATAGGATGAAAGCATGACCACAGATCTCACAATTCAATTAGGATTTGGGGTTCAGTTTGCCAGTACTGGCTTCAAAGTTAGGCAGAATGAACAGAAGCTGGTCCCTAAAAACAAGCGCACTTTAGAAAAAGATAATATAGTGCAAGTAGATTAGTTTGTGTGAGAAATACTCTTTTCCTTGTAGAAGTGGTGAAAAAGACCACTTAGATGTGAAAATATATTTGAATAAAAGACTCTGTTGAAGAAAGGAATTGTAGAAATGGAGGGGCATGTTGTCAAAACTGAGAAGTTAATAAAAGCTATCAATAACTAAAAATATTATGAGGATTATATGATGAATTCCAAGTAAAAATTTCTGAACAGTCATGTTCCAGATATTTCTTGTTGCCTCACTATTATCTACATGGTATACCTTTGCAAAATAAAGTAATGGTGTCCACAACATTTCACTCTCTTTTGTGGCAATACCAGTGGAAATCAGAAGAATTAACCCTACTTTTTCCATTGTGAAAGTGTCCTACTAAACGATTCATTCAGGGACATTGATTTAGATAATAATGTGAGTAGATAAACAGTTCCCACTATAACAATTTGGAACCTTCATGTTAAATTACTCCCATTTATAATGTTAAAATGCTAAATACTTTCTTCATAGAGATTTAATTAGAGAAGGTACAGAGCTTAAATGTGCTTGCTTAGGCTTTCTGAATCTGTCATATCTGCAAAACATGGTCAATAACCTTCAAAGAAAGTATTTTCTGATTTTATTACAAGCTCCTAAGCTGCATTAGAATAGAATTTTATCAGTGTAGACTGCTATTATTCATCTGTGGATGGAACATATGAGGAATACAGCAGGGAATAAAAATATGAAATCCAGATACATAAATATGAAATACAAATAAAATATCAAATAATAAAGATCACTGTGAATTTTTCTTAAAAGTAAAAAGCTTAATTCTGAATTTAGGTGAAGGTCAGACTTGGTTCCTTTAAGGAAATACATTTGCTCATTTCTAATATTACATGGGGTTTACAACAGATAATTCCCAGCACCATGGAACTTTATTCCATGGGGATCTCAGAAAGCCTATGCTTAGATTTTAAACTGGCTTTGTCCTTGCTACATCTAGCAGAGATGGTCCTTCTGAAAGAAGTGCAGCTCACACAGAGCAAGACTGGTCTGAAAACCTAGCCGATATGAAGCAAGGGAGGATGAAAAGGAGTATGACCAAGGCATTGACTTCAAAACTATACTATGGCTACAAACCAAAAAACTCTAATGTGGACATAACCAAAGGCCACCTTCTTTACTTTCTGGCATGCACTATGTTTTCATTCACAAGACAACTCGTGAAAAAGAGATGATGATCTCTCTTCACACAAGTAGAGTTCACTTCATGTGTACAATGGCTTTTGAATGCTTCTATGAGTGCCCCCCAGTGTTCATCCTCAGAGCATTGTTCACGGTTACAGGAATTTAAAAGCTTAAAACACAGTTGATGCAGTCTGACATGAATGGTGAGCACAGAGACTGACACACTGAATCAGGGTCTGGGTTTCAGGAGGGAGACACAAAATTTTTTGGAAAATATTATCCTTAAAGCCAGACATGAGACACTCCGCTTTTAAAATTGTGGACTCATGGTAGTCCTAGATATCTCAGTTGTTTTAAGCCTCTGTGTCCAACTACAAAATAACCTTGTTTACGCTCTGAAATTCTCTCGACACTGAAAAGTGTCTTCTCCTGACTACCTCTGGAAAAGGAACTACACTTTCACACTCTTGCACAGGAAGTCTGATGTAAGAGAATGGAAAAGGTTTTGTTTGCTTACTGCGCTCATGAGAGAGTCCAGCACACTGACAGCAAATGCGGTTCCACATGCAAAGGGCTGCGTGAGATACAGTTCTGTGTCTGGATCATCATCATCATCTTGGTCCAAGAACTGAACATTTGAATCATTTACTGAAAATAATAACAACAATAAAATCATAAGGTGCTTCTGTGTCACCAGGATGTGATCTTACACATTACACAGTCAGAAAGAAAAAGAAATGGCGTATGTCTGGAAACAGAGACTGGTGTCTTTGACGTCACTGAAAATGAAATCAAGATGGATGAGAAAATGTGCAGTTAAAAATCTGTTGATCATTATCTTGCTCATAAGAGGTGGCTCTCTTGCTCTTGGAGGGTGACTATCCCTTTGTTGTAAAAGTAGCTTCATGGCACCAGCTGCCTGCACTCAAAATGAGATACATGATGCTCTTTTATACATTGAGATAATCCTGGTATTGGTCAGGTTCAGTGGCTAACGCTGTATGCATCTACAGTGAAATGTTATCATAAGACACCAAGTCAGAACCCCTTTGTAAAATAAAGGCTGTCCATAAAACTCTGATATAGCCCACAGGCATCTGTTATATGTGCTGCTGTGATTCTTACTGGAGTGGTGTTAATGCACTTACAGCTCAAAAGAGGATAAACTGTCGCTTTAACATGCATCTATCTGAATGAACAAGCAACACTCCAGCTATTCTCTTGCAGCACTGCCTTTTGTTCAAATATTTGTCTCCATAACTTCACTTCCTTAGCCAGAAATTCTACATTAGTTGGTGTGAAAAAGAATCTTCATCAGGCTGTTTTAAAGAAAAAGCCCTGATAAAGTAATATTTGTCATTTACACCTTCTCCAGTATTTCATCGCCGCAGTTAAGTTCTCTGCCTCCAACTCGTTCCACTAAAAATAGTTGTTTCCTTAAGATCAGTGTATCAAGTGGATCATATTTCATTAAATACTTCATTTCTGTGTTAGTCCTCCTCAGGCATGAAAACAAAGACCTCTTAGCTATGCCATTGAAATACCCTTTAACTTACTAAATTACAATTAATTCCAGTTCCCAGGTATGGAAGGGAAATTAAAAACTTTTTCAGCATTTGAAACTGCACATGTTGACTATGTCCCTGTTCTCCATGTGAACACATCTCCTGATTCAAACCAGGGAGCTTTGAAACCAACAGGCGAGCTGCTGTTAACTTGATCCTGTTAATGTGATCAGCTCTGCACTTCTTTGTTTAGAAGGTCTTCTGCCTGCTATTCTGATCTTCCTTCCTATATAGTTTCATTTTCCATCCACTCCTTTTCCAACCTGTATACACTACTGTGCTTGCCATGCTTAGCTTACAGAACGTGAATAACAATAGCTGTCTAAAAGAGATGAGAATTGTTATCCCTTTTTTTAGAGCCCTCCTCAGCCAGTACTTGGCCATGATCATCCAATAAGTCACAACCTAAGCTGAAGCAGGATTTAAAATTCCTGCCTTCCCACTCCTTGATGTAACCACGAAAACATAACACCTCAGCATTGTCAACAGAGAGTGTTCTGCCCTGGGAATCAGACGAATTTAATCCTAGCAAGCACCAATATCCACAATACTTCTTTCTTTGTATGATGGCTGTCAATTGGTTCTCCCGATCCTTGACCAAATGTATTTGAAAGCCTGATGTATTATTTCAAAATGTACTTTTTGAAGAGCTTGTGCCTTAGTTTAATTTGCTATTTGAGAGCAGGCACTATTGACAGTAGCATTCTTTTTCCACTTACATCTGGTAGAGTAATACCTGACTTTGTCACAATTTTTCTAGCCCTTCGTGGTGTCGGTGTCCGAGGTACTACAATCTAACGTGAATTCTGCAAGTGTGGTTTTATCCTCAATATCTTTATCTTCCTGATGCAAGCTAACATGCTAGGATTTCTACAAAAGGTCTTTGGGCTAGGTGAGGTAGGCTTGAACGTGTGGTGCTGCTCATGGGAAATGCTCATCAAACGTGGCTCAGAAAAGTGGGTGAGAGCTCTCTTTTTTTTGAGAGGAAGCAGCACGGAAGCTTTGCTGCTTTTTTTACAGCTTCAAAACCTGAGCTTCTGACACAAGGCCTACACCCCAAAATAAACAAAGAGCTTAAGGGAAAGTATAATGCTGGGGTTTCTTTTCTAATATCTTTTACTTTTTCTTGGACTTCCTGTGAGAACTGCTAAGGCATGTCCACCAAATTGACAATAGGCTGAAATAACAAAAAGAGAAATAGAAATAGAGAGAGAAAGAGAAAAGAAGAGAAAAATTGGTGGGGGGGGAAGGGACGGCCCAGGAGGTGGGGACCCAGGTCAAAGAAAATGAATTGGTGAGAAGGTGCTATGAAAACAGCCGGCAGGTCAGACGAGTGTGATCAAAGGTTTACTGATGCTGCATGAAAAAAAAAAAAAAATCATTAATGCCAGAACAAGACAGTCAATTTCAACCAGAACCACAAATAAAACACATTCAAAGCAGTGCCATGAGGGTAGCCCCTCTGATACAGCCAGATAAATAAAGGAAAAGCTGATGACAGTAAGAACAACAGCCACAGAAAATCAGACAGTGATGTGAAGGAAAAAGGCACGTCTTACCCAGTTCAGTTATCATTAGAATGTGGGTTCCACTGTTTTTTTCCTGACTGATTGAAACCAAAGGCAGAAGTTTGCCAGGTTTAGCTAATAAGTAAAGTATTTTGCAGGAAAAGAAAGTACAGAAAGAGAATAAAGTAAGGGAAAAAGACAGGCAAGGCTCTAAAAAATAAAGCTGAAAAAGAAAGTAAAAGGACAAAGGACCACAAATCAAGTTTGTATTTGCCATGAAAAAAACAGAACAGCTTCTGCACTTCACATCACACCACTTGACAACATAAATACCCACAGCTAGAGTCGAAATCAGAGCCTGGTTACCTACCATCATCATATTCTCAGGAGTAAAATGTCTCATATTATTATGCAGAGTTTGGTTACACATGATTAAACAGTTCTGGACCACGAAGAAATAAACAAATGGTCTCTTACTACTGATTAAATGCACAGGAAATGTCTGCTCATACTTACTGTGTTTTTTTTCTTTTCTAACCTTAGACCAAAGACCTCCGCTTATTTGTTACACTATGTAAAAAGCATCTTGTCTGATAATAGTGTTTATTTAAGAAAATGGAGAAAACCCAAAGAAAAGAGAGAAATATATTTCAGTTATTCAAATAAAGTGAAACAACCATTACTAATCTTTCTTTAGAGAAAGCAATTCAAAACAGTTATTGAAAGAAAAAACACAGCAGTGTAAGATACAGTATAGGCAATTTTCCTGATACCACGCAACAAGGGAAGTGGGAAAAAGACATGGAAATATACATGAAAGGATAAATATTAGCTTTTCTTACCTAGCTCTGTTATAATAGGGATGTTGGCTCCTGTTGTAATGGATGGTTGACGTAACAGGCCGTGGACTGGACTGTTGTCTGGAGATGACCTATCCATCCCAGGGGGTGTAAAGCCTAAAAGAAAAAAGGGAAAGTTTGCACAGGACAAACTATATAAAAACAATCTCCACCAACAGGCAATTCCCTATTTCTATTTTTTTTTACAGAAATGTATGGTGGAAAAAAAGTAATTTTTAAAAAAAAGATCTTAATTTTCAACAGTTATTTCCTAAAAGCATAATCCTTCACAAATATGCAGGCCATTTCTACTGTAAGATATTTGGTAACGAATGGAGAAACTGAAATTTATTTTGTCATCCTAGGTAGGCTTTGCACCAAAACACTCAACACAGAAAAAGTAATGCTTACTTAAATACAAATTAAAACAAAAAAAAAAAAAAAGATTTCAGTGTCAGAGAGGTTTGATTTTGTCCTATTAGTATTTCAAATAAACCTGAAACAAACTTCTTTCCTTCAACCTCAATTAACATATTAAAGAGTATTGTTTGTAATCAGTAGTACAACCACGAGGAACAAATTGCTTTCATTAACAGATTTTAGATTTGATCAACATGCAGAATTTGAAGTTTTCTGTTTTCCAGAAGCAATACAACCCACACAAAGTTTTGTTTTGTTTTGTTTTGTTTTTTTTCCTTTTGAGGTGTACCATTCATAATACGCATTTTATGAGGATTACAAGTATAGAAATACTGGGATGGAAGGGCCCATTCTAACAGGAAAAAAGAAATAAGATAGGATGGAAGGAAAAAGACACAGGTTTTCAAACAGTATGTAAGAGGAATGCTTGAAAAGAAACTATAAAGAGTTTTATACCTTTGGGGATGTCTGGGAAAGAAAAGTGGGAGAGGAAACACATTGGCAGGCACTCAAAGAAAAAAGAGATCTGGAGAGCAGCAAGGTTCACCTCTGAAAAAGATTGTGTTTTCAGTCTGATTCGCTACACAGTCTGAAAAGGACCTCTTCACACTGAGCATTTTTTAACCTTTTTTTTTTTAATAAAAAAATACTCAGGCAGAGCCTTTTGGATTTTGATGGCACATACTGAAAAACAGGCAAAATACAAAAAAACATACAAAAGCACATGCAACAGGAAATTCACAGCTGAGACTAATGCATTCCATCTCCCTTGCTCATTAAAGCTGCAGAAAGCATGGGAATATTCATTTAATGTCATTTTTGCATAAGTGATGGCGAAGCCAGAGTTTGACTTTAGGGTTTCATGTAGACCAATATCAAGGCAACATTTTTCAGCAAATATTTGTCTGCTAGGAATAGGATTAAGTCAAGCTTACTTTAAAACACACATTTATGAGAATACACTAATTTTTTTGCCCCATTATTCCCAAATTCTTTGAATTCACAGCTGACATCCAGGGACAGACTTTTGATCCTCTGTCGTTAGTGGTCTGAACTAGTTTTTAATTCTTCATATACCGATTCAAAATTATTCACAGCCAAATCAATTTCTGACGTAACTTCATTATAATCTATAATTTAATTCAGAAGAAGATTATATGATACTTTTACTTTACCTTTCTTCAGTTTGGTGACTAATTTACAAACAGAGAAATCTCTAAACTATAAACTGTAGTTGTTAACCTGTGTTACTGATTTTTCATTGTCTTTCTGAGGAATTTATGGTTCTTTTCCAGTGATAATTACCATCACTCTTAAATTGTCCCTAAACAAGACAAACTATAAGGATCACTAGATCTGGACTTCTTGATTTAATGGAATTTAAGTTTCTATTTGATATTCAGTTCATTTCTCCCTATGCTTTGTCTATATCACCTATAGAACATATAGGTAACAAAACTAGAATAATTGAGAGACTTACTTAGCCCTCCAGAAGGTGCCAGTACAGATTTCCTTCTGACTATCACACAATAAAACATGAGGATTGTAAGGACAGGATAAGTAAAAAGGGAGCAAAAAATGTGTGAAGAAATTCATTAGAAGAAAAAAATTGGATGTGGTATCTTCAACAGGCTCACAAGACAAAAACACAGCCATAGGCAAACCTAGAGACAGCAAAGCAATTTAATTTTGCCAGTGCATAGAAAATCTTTAGAAAGCAGATTTCTTAGAAGCAATCGGAAATGTTAGTAACATTAACAGCAGTCATTTAATACTATTCATTGTGCTGAAACTGATTCAATAAGACCAGGATGGCAACAGCCAGTTGCATTCCCAACTGGTATCAGTTTGCAAATGTCTCGTTGTGTCTGGCACTGTAACTGCCTACTGGGTTTGTGTGGCAGGGTTTTGGTAGTGAGGCAGGGGCTACAGGGGTGGCTCCCATGAGAAGACGCTGGAAGCTTCCTCAGCTCCAGGTCAGACCCACCTCTGGCCGAGGCCAAGCCAACTGACAACAGTGGATCCACCTCTGTGATATCGTATTTAAGAGAGGAAAAAAAAAATTCTGAAAAGACCTACAGAGGACAGAGGAGTGGGATGTGAGAGAAACTACTACGCAGACACCAAGGTCAGTGGAGAGAGAAGGTGCCAGAGCAGAGGTTCCCCTGCAGCCCGTGGTGAAGCAGCAGCTGTGCCCTTGCAGCCATGGAGGGTAACGATGGAGCAGACATCCACCTGCAGCCCCTGGAGTACCCCACAACGGAGCTGGTGGATGCACCCAAAGGAGGCTGAGACTCAGTGGAAGCTCGCACTGGAGCAGTCTGCTCCCGAAGGACTGCACCCTGTGGAAGGGACCCATGCTGTAGCAGTTGGTGAAGAACTGCAGCCCGTGGGAAGGACTCACATCAGAGAAGCTCATGGAGGTCTCCTGTGGGAGGAACCCCAAGCTGGAGCAGGGAATGAGTGTGAGGAGTCCTCCCCTGAGGAGGAAGGAGCAGCAGAGATGACGCGTGATGAACTGACCGCAACCCCCATTCCCCGTCCCACTGCGCCACTGGTGAGGAGGAGGTAGAGGAATCGGGAGTGAAGTTGAGGCCAGGAAGAAGGGAGGGATGGGTGGAAGGTGTCTTTAAGATCTGGTTTTGTTTCTCATTATCGTACGCTGATTTCATTAGTAATAAATTGAATTTTTTTTCCCCAAGTCAAGTCTGTTTTGCCCATGACTGTAACTGGTGAGTGATCCCTCCATATCCTTGTTTCAACCCATGAGGTTTTACCTTTTGTTCTTCTGATGCTGCTCCCCATCCGACTGGGAGGGGGAGGAGAGAGTGAGCAGCTGTGTGGTGCTTATAGTCGGGTGGGCCTAAACCACGACAAACTAATAGCTGTATTGGCTCAGTGAATGCTTGCTCCTGCATGGCTGAGCCTCAGTTTTCTCAGACTCACAAAGTGAGTCTAACAAGAGTTCCTTGAGGCATCACCTCATGAGTTAGAGGTAACCCTGACACACTCACAGCAGCAGGAAAATTAAAGTGTGACTCCAAAGGGAGGGAATGTGATCGGAGGACAGGGGGGTATTAGTGTGACACATCCTTCTGCTGCAGGATCTGATGTTTAAGTTTTGCATTCAGTTATGCTACAGGAAAGGAAAGACGTGGCTTTTGTCACACTACATTAAAAAAAGCTCCAGTAGCTGTAGACCTCCTGATCAGTTAAAATTGCAGGCCCAATTCGGTCCTCTGCAGATTCACAAGTCAAAATGGCAATAACAAGACTCTTTACACTCTCTTACCTGAGAGCAAAGAAAACTTATCTTGTTCCTATGCACCCTAGGGGTTGTACTGCTGGGAGCATCCCTAGAGGCCCTGCTTCTCTCTTTTTCCTGAAGGCTTTTCTCCTCCCATCTCAGGATGTACTCCCTAAAACATCTTTCAGTGAATCAAGATCTTCAGATGGGTATTTCCCTACTAGCTAAAAGCAAATTGAAGAAAGCTGACATAACTGAGTCTAAATGCCTAAGTTCTTGACCTCCCTCTGCTGCAACATGCCCACACAGTGAGGCATGGACACTCTCCATCGAAGGCTATTTGTAGCCACCTCTCTCTGGCCCTTCAGATATTTGTCTTCCTAGAATGGTGTTAGAAGATTGAAGTAAATGTGGCATTTCTGTCAAGAGTTCTGTAATTGCACACTGCACACATCGTGCATTCAGTCTAAAATGCAGGAAGCATGTTAAAGGGATTTTGTTTTCTCCTTGAATGAAAAATAGACACATGCCTTAATATTTTTCATCTTATAGTCCTGGAAGATCTGAGAAGTATCTGCTATTTTAATTTAATTTCCTTGTCCAAGCTTAATTCAGACAACTCTACAAATCCACTTTTAAAAAATATAAAAATCTTGGAATGGTCTCAGGAAATTGAAAACAGGAGTACTTGGGGGTATTGTGAGACTACGTTTGGAGTCACAAGGCATTGTACACCTTTTTCTCCCACGTCACAATGTAAATGCTATATATAGGCTCTCTACTTCTTTCCTCCAGGAAAGAAAAAAAAAAGTACAGGAAAACTAACCTGCTTTATCAGAACTTTCATTTAAAGGCATGAAAAAGTACAAGTGACAGCTGTGCAGATTCAGTGAATGTGACATTTCTGAATTTCTTCAACTTGACAAGTAAACACCTTAAATCGGTAATGCTATATGCATAATACATGATCTGTATTTTGACATCCATCATCAAATGCTGACTTGAGAAAATACAGGTTTGTACGTCAAGGAATAGCACCCATAAAGCAAGGAGAAATTCAGGTCACAGGGTATTAGGAAAACTCTATTTCATTACAGAAGCTGAAACAAGCTAAGGCATCAGGTTTGAGATCCATTTTCAGCTGTGAAAAGATTCAATTCCTCTGCACAGAGCATTCATTTAGAAATGACATGCTTTCCTCACAGCCCCTTTTCATTTTCCTTTTCATATTCCATTTTTTCCTTCAGTCCCCAAACATTGTTCCATTAATGCTCATAAAAATCATAAAACAGGTCTGATAGTTGTGATCTTCTTATAACCGCAGTGTCTTCTTGTTCAACAAACAACTGAGGGAGTTGCAGTTACAATTGCTTAACAGGCTCAACTCCTAGAATAAAATTCACATGGCCCGTGCAAGCCTGAGCACAGTCCCTGTATGAGGAAATA